ACCGTCCCCCTAGTTTTGTGTTTGTGCCTCCTCCTCCTCCTCCTCCCCTCCTCCTCCTCCTCCTCTCCTCATTCTCCTCCTCCTCCTCCTCCTCCTCTCCTCCTCCTCCCTCCTCCTCCCCCTCCTCCTCCTCCCCCTCCTCCTCCGCCTCTTACCATTTATTGCGACTGTTGGTTGATTGTAAAGCTTCGCCAAGCAATGCTTGCGCTTTGCGGTTCTTGCTTTTCTCAGAAAGGAGCGCGCCCTTTGTGTCGGTCCGGCTGGCTTGTAGCCGCCCGTCGCCGCCCGTCGCCGCCGCCCGTCTGGGCCTGGGCTGGAGCGGTTTTGTGCCCGCCCGTCGCCGCCGCCCGTCAAAGCCGCACCACATAGGTTCTCTTTTCCAAAAGAGAGGTCGGATTCATCGCCACGCTGGAGTTATCCGCTCCACCAGGGGATGTGCCATTTACCTTTGGCTGCTTTAAAAAAGCCTGCGAGCACTCTTGCGAATCTTTGCACAAACCATAACGGCTTCAATCGTTCCATCCCGTGCGACCAACCAGGCCTCTCGCGCGCGCATGTCGAAATCATTCGAAAGCATGTGCGCGCGTGCTGGGAGGGGGATCCTGTGTCAAATAATACGATGCGGGCCAGTCGTGCGCGTAGACCGGGCGCGCAGGTCGAAATCATCCCAGAAACTGCATCACCGACACGTGGACACCATCATCGTCACCAACGGTATCAGCACCGGCGCCGTCACTGGCCTTGCCGTCGTCATTGCCACCATCGCCACTAGCATCGCTACTATCATCAACGTGCCTGCCGTTGCCGACGTCGCCATGAAACCGCGTCCGCCCGAGCCACCGACTCGCATTGAATCGCCCGCGCGCAAGCGCGGCCTGCGACACGCGTTGGCTCGTGCCCGGCGGTGAGCGCCGCCGCGGCCGTGTCGGTCGCGCCAAACTAGCTGGCCGTTGTGCGCGCGAGCTTGCGCGCGCTAGCGCGGTCGCAGCGATGTGCCAGCAGTGCCAACCAGTCCTCGCAATCGCCGCCGCATGGGCTTTGCAAACCACGTGGTATAATTGCGCGGGCAGTGGAATTGACAACTTCAAGTTCGGCAGGGTGAATTGCGCCACGTATAAGTTGCACCATCTAAAGTGCCCCGGATAAACCACACAACAGCTTGCACCAAATAGATTGCCCCACGCAGATCGAACCACATAGCCTGCACCACACAAGTTGCACCACACAACTTGCAACACAGAGATCGCACCATATCGCATATACCGCACCACATGGATCACATTTTATTGCAAGGGGGAGTACAAGCTATCCCGTCCCCAGCTGTTGCGCTTCATCCTGGGGCAATGCAATTGGCATGCGGTTATCATCGCTCGCTTAGATGATGACTTGATATCACCCCAGCCCAACTCCAGTCGCCCCCCCCGCCCATTATGCGCGCGCCTGCTTACCGAATCTCACCAATTGTCGAAACACTTGTGCGACGAAAGGGCCAAAGTCCACAAGCGCGCGGCGTCGAGCGCGCATGCCGAACCCCGTCAGAATCCTTAGGTTTGTCGGGGTTTCACGACCGAGGTTCCCGAAACCTTTATATATATATATATATTATATATATAATATATATATATATATATATATATATATATATATATATATATATATATATATATATAATATATATATATATATATATATATATATATATATATATATATATATATATATATATATATATATATTATATATATATTATATAAAAAAAAACAAAAAAAAAAAAAAAAAAAAAAAAAACAAAAAAAAAAAAAAAAAAAAAAAAAAAAAAAAAAACGGATTGGCTGCGTGAGTTGTCAAAGGATTGGCGCGCGCGCTCTTGCGAATTCTGGCAGCAAGCTACAGGCGCTTCAATACTTTAGCAAATGCGACCATGCGCCCCCCCCGCCCGCGCATGTCGAAATTCGAATGCGCTTGCGTCTGCTGGGGAGAAGGGGGAGGGACGGGCGCGACACGTATCAAGTCGAATTTTGCGGGCCAGCCGCGCGCGTCGGCCGCGCGCGCATGTCGAGTCCTTCCAACACCTTCATCACCGATGCGTGGACACCATCATCGTCATCGGCGTGACCAGCATCGGCGCCGCCATTGGCCTTGCCATCGTCATGGTCACTATCGTCACCGTAATCGCTACATCATCATGTCCTCCTTTGTAAACGTCACCATGATACCGCGCCGCCCGGGTCACCGACTAGCACTGAAGTGCACGCGTGTCACCATGGCCTGCGACACGCGCTGGATGTCCCCAGCGGTCAGCGCCACCGCGGCCGCGTAGGCCGCGCCAGATTCGATGGACACGTTTCGCGCGAGCTTGCGCGGCCAAGCATTCATCGCAATCGCCAGCGCGCTGATTTTGCAGACCAAGATGCTGGTGGGCGAGCGGGACAACTCGAAATTCCTGTTGTGCACCACATCGATTGCACCACCTTGCTGGCACCGCAAAGGTTGCACCACATATATCGCACTGCCCATATTGCGCCACACAGGTTGCATCGCATTGATGCACCTACTTGTTTGCAGCACATATGTTGTACCACGAAGACGGCTTAACCCAAATTTCACCATACTGCTTACAGCGCCTAGATTGCACCACGTGGCTTGCAATACGTAGATTGAACTGCGTAGCTTGCACCACATCGATTGCACCATGTAGCTGGCCCCACATATATTCTCCTTTTGGAAAACAAAAACTAGGTTCTACCACCCTACCCCCCTCGGGGTGAAGTATTCCCTTTTTCGCATTGCAATTTACCTGTGATTCTGTCCCATCGTCCATCCTAACTGTGAATTCGTACTGTCACAGCCGAACCGGCATCGCCCCCCCACTATCCTCAGCAAAAAGTACTATGCGCGCGCACTCGTTTATCAGAAATCACAGGGAGGTTTCAAGAACTCTTTGCAAAAAACAAAAAGGGACGAAGTGCACACGCGCACATCGTCGCGCGCGCGCAATCCGAAATCCTTTCAAAACCTTCAGTTTCGGAAGGCTTCCAAAACAACATACAAACAAAATGGTTTCGCAACACGGATTTTCCCAAACAAGCTTACGCGCGCGCTCTTGCGAAACACAGATTTTCAGAAAATGTTACCAAACGAGCTTCGCGCGCGCATGCCGAAATCCGCCGACCCCTTGTGGGTCTCTAGGCGTGTGAGATAGTTCCCCCCCCATAACCCCCCCCCGGGACCGGAAACCGGAGATTTGATCCCCCCCCCTCGCCGACTACGACCCCCCGCCGAACGCGCCAAGGGGGAGCAGAGGGCCCAAAAACAGGCCAAAAGCGCACCAAGGGGTCTCCGAGACGGTCCAAGAAGGCCTTGAGTAGCCAAACGAGCGGTCCAAGACGACCAAGATGACTCCAAAACAAGCAAAGAGACCTCCAAAACGGCCCAAGAGGCCTCCAAGATGCGCCCCAAGAGAGCCCCCAGACTCAAAAATGGTCCCATTCCCTTTGTAAAACGTATATGTTCAGCCTTCTCGCCTTTTCCGCTGTCCGATGTTCGAAGTCGGCCCAGGAGGCTCCCAAAACCGCCACAAGACGGCCCAAGAGGCCTCCAAGAGGACCCCGAGACGGCGCATGAGGGCCCCAAGACGGCCCAAGGGGCGCCCAATGCGGCCCAAGAGGGCCCCAAGACGTCACAAGAGGGGATCCAAACAGGCTCCAAGAAGGCTTTAAATGCCCCCCAGAGCTCCAAGAGGTCGCCGAAGAGGCTCCAAGTGGTCCCCAGGGGGCTCCCCAAGAGGCCCTGCGAGGCGCCCCAGAAGTCTAAAAGAGGCCCTGCGAGGCGCCCCGAAAGTCCAAAAGAAGCCCCAAAAGGGCTCCCACGAGGCCTCCGAAGAGCCACTCGTTGTCGTCGTCGCCGTCGCCGTCTCCGTCTTTTTCTCTCTGTTTTCTACTCTCCGCCCTTCTCCTCCTCTTCCTCCTCCCTTTCGTATCCCTTCTTTTTCGTCCTCTGCTCCTCATCCTCCTCCTCCTCCTCCTCCTCCTCCTCCTCCTCTGCTTTCGCCTTCTTTGCGTTCCTCGTTTCATCGCCCTTCTCGGATGCTCCCTCTCGCTCGGACCCCGTTGCTCCTACTGCTACTGGCCATGGCACGGGTGCCCTACTGGTAAAATTTGCACGCATTGCCTGTCAGTGTGCCCTCTTTCTCGTCACGCGCGACATTGCTCGAGTTCACGGAGAAAGCACGCTTTGGAAATTTCCTCTGGCACGTGCCACTGCGCTGCTTGGTCTCCTTTTCCATCTCGTCCTCTGCCTCCTCTCCTTCGCCCGCTGCTGCTCCATCTCCGGGCCACCTCGTTGCCCAAGCCCGCTGTTTCTTCAAACGTCCCCTCGCGCCCCCCATCATCTGAACTCGCATTGTTTCGGTTTCTGGATTGGCTTGTGGGTATAAGGTACAAGCGAAAAAAGTACTCCACCACAAACGTGCGAACGACAGCCGTTGCCTCCGGGACCCCCCTCCCTCACATTTGCCACCTCGGCGAGGAAATCCGTTGGCCACGGCCACCTTTTATCCCGAGAGCAGAAAGAAGATCCCAAAAGAACCCCGCAAGGCGGAAGTACAATCCAGCAGCCGTCTCCATTCGCTATTCCGAAACAAAGGGATCCTTCGAAACAAGGGGTCGGCGGATGTGGCGTAAGCCTGAAGAATCGTTCGAACGCCCTTGCGCGCGTGCCGTCGCGAGTGACGTGTTGCCGGAGGCAGGTCCGCGGATGCTGTAATGCAATGGATCCAATGTGTCCAATGCTTGCATAATTCCTACATATTGTATTGTATTACATTATTATGTCTCCCCCCCTAACCCCCCCCTGGAGTCGCGCCACTTCCATCGACCCTCAGGAGGAGGGCCCCTTCTGGGCCTCAAAATCTAGAAAAACCTATGGAAAACCGATGATTTGGGCACCTTGAGCCTTTTGGGGATCCAAGAGGGCCCCAAGACGGCTCCAGATGGCCCCAAGACGGCCCAAGACGGCCCTAAGACGGCCCGAGATGGCCCCAAGAGGGCCCAAAAAGAACCCAAGACGGCCCAAGAGGGCTCCAAGAGCGCCCACAAGAGCGCCTCCAGAGGCCAAAAACATTGATTTTCCTTACGTTTTTGAAAGATTTTAGCTTTCTCGCCTTTTTCGCCTCTCCGAAGCCCATGACGGCCCGAGCAGCCTCCAAGATGGCCCCAAGAAGGCCCAAGAAACACCCAAGGGGGCCCCAAGACGGCCCCAGAGGGCCACAAGACGGCCCAAAGAGGCCCCCAAGACGGCCCAAGAAACCCCTGAGACGGCCCAAGAGGACCCCAAGAGGGCCCCAAGGCGGCCGCGAGAGGCCCCCAAGAAGTCCTCCGAAGGGGCCAAACGGCGCGAAAGCGCCCCAAGACGGCCCAAGACGCCCCCAAGAGGCCCCAAGAGGCCACCAAGAGGCCCCCAAATGGCCCCAAAAAGCCCCCCAGAGACCTCCGAAAAGTCCCCAAGAAGCCTCCAAAAGGCCCCAAAGAAGCCCCCCAAAGGCCACATAGCGACTGGAGTGTAATATTATTTCCCCCCCTGGACGAACTGCGGCGCAGCGCCAGCCAGGTGGAAGTTGGTCACGGCGGCGCCCATGATTAGAGCCAGCGCTGGAAGGGAAGATGGGGAGGGAGTCAAAAAAGGGGGGGAAGAGGCCAGAAGAAGTCCCCAAGAGGCCCAAAGAAGCTCCCAAGAGGCCTCCAGGAGGCCCCCAAGAGGCTCCCAGAAGGCCCCGCGACGTGACTGTACGTGCTCCGGACGTGCACCCCGCGAAGCGAGAGGAATCGTTCGAACGCCCTTGCGCGCGTGCCGTCGCGAAAACCCTCGGTGCAAAAAACGGGACGAAGTGCACGCGCGCGCGTCGTCGCGCGCGCATGCCAGAATTCCTTCAAAAACCATCAGCTTCGGAAAGGATTTCGAAATCGAGTGCCAAAAAACATACACAAGCACAGGGTTTCGCAACACGGATGTTCAACGAAAGCGTGCGCGCGCGCTCTTGCGTCGTCGTCGTAGTCGTCGTCGCCATCCTCCCTCCTCCCTTGTCGTCGTCGTCGTCGCCGTCGTCGTCCTCTGTCTTTCCTCGTCGTCGTCGTCGTCGTCGTCCTCTTTGGCGTCGTCGTCGTTTCCGTCGTTGTCGTCGCAGTGGCCGTCCTTCCTCCTCCCTCGTCGTCGTCGTCGTCGTCCGTCGTCGGCGTCTCGTCGTCGGCGCTCCTGTTTCGCCGCCGTCGTCGTCGTCGTCGTCGTCGTCGTTTTCCCTCCTCCCTCGTCGTTGTCGTCGTCGGACTCGCCGTCCTCCCTCCTTCTTCGTCGTTCGCGTCGTCGCCGTCTTCCCTCCTCCCTCCTCGTTGTCGTCATTGTCGCCGTCGTCGTCCTCCCTCCTCCCTCGTCGTCGTCGTCGTCGTCTTCGTTGGCGACGTCGTCGTCGTCGTCTTCGTCGTCGTCGGCGGCGTCGTCTTCGTCGTCGTCGTCGTCATCGTCGTCGGCGTCGTCGTCCTCGTCGACGTCGGCGTCGGCGTCGTCGGCGTCGTCATCATCGTCGTCTTCGGCGTCAGCGTCGTCGTCGTCGTCGGTGTCGTCGTCGGCGTCGTCGTCGTCGAAGTCGTCGGAGTCGTCGTCGGAGTCGTCGTAGTCGTCGTCGGCGTCGTCGTCGTCGCTGTTGTCGTCGGCGTCGGTGTCGTTGCCAAGTGCCATTTGGTACCTACCGTCACGGTCTTGAGAGGTCTGGCGACCAAGCTGCGGGTGGGAGGGTGGGATGTTTGCACGAACAGTGGAGAGGACAGTTTCAAGACAGTCAAAGTGAATTATGCCAGTGCGACCCTACCTAGGAGTTGGAGCCTCTAGGAAAGCAACATTAGCAGCAGCAATGGTGGATGCTGTGCTGCGCTATGCTATGCTGTGCTGTGCTGTGCTATGCTATGCTGCGCAATGCTATGCTGGGCTAGACTAGGCTAGGCTAGCCATGCTATGCTATGCAGCATAGCATAGCTACAGCATAGCACAGCATAATGCTGTGCTATGCTATGCTATGCTATGCTATGCTGCGCTGTGCTATGCTAAGCAATGCTATGCTATGCTATGCTGTGCTATGCTATGCTATGTGATGCTGCACTAGGCTATGCGATGCTATGCTATGCTATGATATGCTGAGCTAGGCTATGCTCTGCTATGCTTGGCTATGCTTGGCTATGCTATGCTATGCTGTGCTAATGCTGCGCTGCGCTATGCTGCGCTAAGCTAAGCTAAGGTCAGCTAAGCTAAGATTAGATAAGCTAAGCTAGGCTAGGCTAAGCTAAGCTAAGCTAAGCCAAGCCAAGGTGAGCTAAGCTAAGCTAAGCTAAGCTAAGCTAAGCTAGGATGAGATAAGCTAAGCTAAGCTAAGCTAAGCCAAGCTAGGCTAGGCTAGGCAAAGCTAAGCTAAGAGGGGATAAGCTAAGATGAGATAAGCTAAGCTAAGCTAAGCTAAGCTAAATTTAGTTAAGATAAGCTGGGTGAACCCAGGGGGCGCATCTGGGGGAACCGCGGGGCGGATCCTGGGGGAACCGCCCGGGGCGTGGAACACTGCCCAGCCCTTTAAGCCAACACGGTAAGAACCCTTCCAGGCAGAGCCTAGGTAGGGCATCAACCTGAACTAAGCTGAAGCTAAGCTAAGATGAAATACGCTAAGCTAAGATGAGACAAACAACGCGAAGCTAAGGGAACGTCACTGGGGGAACCGCGGGGGGCCGGATACTGGGGGAACCGCCCGGGGCGGGTCACACTGCCCGGCCCTTTAAGCTTACCGAGTAAGAGCCCTTCTAGGCAGAGCCTAGGTAGGGAATTACGCCACATAGATTACACCACACAGATTGCATTACTCAGGTTGCACCACACAGATTGCACTATATAGATTTTACGACATCGCTTACACCGAACATATTGCACCACATTGAAAGCTTAAAACGTATTGCATCACATTGCGTGCGCCACATCGATTGCACCACGCAGTTTGCGATAACACAATCGCGAAATGAGCTGTGGCAAAATTCAGTTTAGTATTACGTGTGTGTGTGTGTGTGTGCGTGTGTGACCCTCGTCATCATCAATCATACGTCCTCCGTTCCCGTCCTCGCCTTATTCTGGCTTATCCTCTTCCTCATCCTGCTGCAACTCTTCCCGTGCAGAAGCGGGGGGGTATACGGTCTGGAGTCCGAGGGGCTCCGGTGGAGGTCTTGGAAGATGGCGCCCGTAGGGCAATATTGGGGGGGGGGGGCACCCTGGCCCTTCTGCTGCTCCCCCCTCCACCTTCTCCTCGTCCTCCTCGTCAACATCATCCTCCTCCTGCTCCTCCTCCTTCCGCCTCCCTCCGCCTCCCCCCGGGCACGCCTGGAGCACGCGGTCCAACTCGCTCATGGGCGGCCCCTGCCTCGGCGCCTGCTGCCTTGGCAGACGGAGCGCGAGGAGGGCTGAAGCTGGCAGGGTGGCGCCTCCCACGTTCGCCCATCCATCCTGCACCCGATCTTCCATCCATCCTGCACCCGATCCTGAGGGGAGAAGAAAATGTAGTCGTAAACTATTCGTGCTCTGCACACGAGGCCATCCGTGGATACAGCCCGCGCGGCGGGAAGGGCTGAAGGGAGGAAGCAACGTCATTTATAATCGCCGAATTCCCAATTCCTGGTTCCAGGCTCCTGGTTCCCAACTCCCCGTTCCCAATTCCCGGTTCCCCGCTCCCCGTTCTCACTTCCCGGTTCCTGGTCCCCGGTTCCCGGTTCCCGGTTTCCAAATCCCGGTTCGCGGCTCCCTGTTCTCGGTTCCCATTCCTGGTTCCCGATCCCGGTTCCCAGCTCCAGCTTCCTAGTTCCTTTCCCGGTTGTTCCATCGTGAAATGCACCACCAGCCCTCTGGGCGTAGGTGGTTTAGGGCGTTTCCTTTTCCACCCCTCCCTCTTCCCCTTCGGGGAGGGGTTTACCCCTCCCCCATTACCCCTTCCCCTGGAACTGGAGCGCCCAAGATGGCCCAAGATGCTCCAAGCGGGCCTCAAAGAGCCCCAGATGACATCCAACATTGCCCAAAATATCCCGGGATGCGTCAAGATGGCTCCTAAAATGCCCCAGGAGGCCCCAAGACCGCTTCAAGACGGCTGCGAACGGCCACGCAGCCTCCCCAGGAGGCCGCCAAGAAGCCAACATCCTTCAACAACCGAAGAGAAAACAATGAAGTGTGTTTTCTCGCCTTTTCGCTTCCGATGGCCTTCCGAGGCCTCCAAACAGCTCCAAGAGGGCCCATGACGGCCCCAAGAGATGCCCAAGACGGCCCCGAGAGCGTTCAAGAGCGCTCCAAAAATCGTTCCAAAAGGAACTCAAAAAGTGATTTGGGGGGCTCCCGATCGGGGGGGGGGGGGGGCAATTGAAGCTCCGTCCTTCTTTGTTCGATCTCCTCCAAGAGGGCCCCAAGAGGCGCCCAGGAGACACCAAGAGGCCCCAAAATGGCCACCAGATGTCTCTGAAATGGCCCCAGGAGGCCACCAGGAAACCCCGAAGAGGGCCCCAAGCGGCCCCAAGAGGCCCGCCCCCCCGAAACACCCAAGACGCCCAAAAGCCCCCCAGGACCGCCGAATGACCCCCAATACGTCCCAAGAGGCCTCCAAGAAACGCCCAAGAGATATCCCAAGAGGCTCCGAGAGGCATCCAAAAAACCTTCAGCCCTTTTGATTGCCCTCCTTCTCCTGCTCCTCCTTCCTCCTCCTACTCATTCTTTTCCTCCTCCTCCCCATCTCCCCATCATCATCCTATCATCTTCCTTCTCCCCAGTCCCTCATCCATCCGTCCAGCCTCCTCCTTCTCCCCCTCCCTCCTTTGCGCGGTTCGGCCGCCCACCTCTTGCGGGCTCGCGAAGCAAGTCGAAAGCCGGACAGAGCTAGGGCGGGCCGCGCCGAAGCAACAGGGAGAAACAGCACGGAGCAACCCCAGGCCCGGACGCGGACTCAGCGTCCAACAGGACGTGAGAACAGGCAGACCGGCACGATGACCATGACGAAGAGTGTGTCCGAGTGCGCCACCCATGCCTAGGACGGCGGTGACCAGGAGGGAGAAACAGGCGGCCAAATCCTGCGCCCCTGATAACTTGCCGAACACGAAGTCCTGGACCCAGAAGGTCTTCACGACGTGGAGCGGGCAAGCGAGCCAGCGGGAGCAGCGGGAACGCCTCCGAGACTGGCAGGAGCGACGGAGCACGAGCGTCGTCAGGTGCCGCGGAGGAAAACGGTCCCCAGGCACCGTGTACGGCGCGCAGACGAACATCGACACGCGGAGGACAAGCACCGCAAGGAAGAAGCGGATGACGGTCGGGCCCCAGAGATCCGATGTCGTGTTTTTTTGTGTTTCTTTTCAATACGGGGTCCCTAGAAGTCTCGACCCACTCCCCGAAACCAGTTTCTCATCCTGAGTGGTTGTGTTGACGGTCCCGGGGCCTGGCGGGGGCCCCTCGAAGTCGGAAAATGCGAAAAACCTCCGCCTTGATTTTCCAATGCGCTGGATCTCTGGGGCTGCGGCCGCTCCGGGCCCTCCACCGAGCAACTCCAAGGCCCCCCGGGCAGGGGCAGCTCGGACTCGGAAGCCACGACCAGCGCGACCCGCCAGCAGCCGTGCAAGAGGGTGTCCCGTGGCGACCGCGAGCCCACGGCGCCAGGGTGGTCCTCCTCCTCCTCCTCCTCCTCCTCCTCCTCGTTCTCCTCCTCCTCCTCCTCCTCCTCCTCCTCCTCCTCCTCCTCCTCCTCCTCCTCCTCCTCCTCCTCCTCCTCCTGGTCCTCGTCCTCGTCCTCGTCCTCGTCCTCCTCCTCCTCCTTCTCCTCCTCCTCCTCCTGGGGAGACGCGAATTCGTCCAGAATTCCTGGTTCCCGGCTCCCGGTTCCCAATGCCTTTCGCTCTTGTTCCAGAGTGAGGGGAGGAGGACAGGGATGGGGAGGAAGGGGAGGGAGACAAGGGACAAGCTATGCCACGTAGTGGTCCAGGAAATTAGGTGGCACGAGAAAGCTTGTCAGCTTCGCTGGGGAGCTTCGGCCACAACCCCGTGTTATTCTCGACGATGGGGATCAAGCTTATACGAACATGGCTTCGACAGCCCACCTATGATAGCATGGGCATGGGAACCAGAAACTTGACAGAGCCAAGTACTACGGGGTGCGTCTCATGAGCCCCCCCCGCGAGATGGAGCCACCCCCCAGGGGAAGATCTCGAAACTTCTTATTCACTTGGGACGGGATGAAACAAGGAGACTCATGCCACTCTTTCAGAGTTGCCAGCGTATTAGGGGGAAGGGAAAGGAGAGGCAACTTAGTCCGCATTGCTCAATCAAAATATCCCCGCGTTCCGCCCCGCCGGACGGCTCTTTCAAGCCCCTTGTCACCCCACCACCATAAAAACACCCGCACGCGCGCAAAAAAACGCACGCGATTCTCAGTAACCCCCACGCCCCGCGTCCGCAGCCCCACGTCTACCTCCCAACGCGATCCCTCAGCACGCGTGTTCGGCAGCTACAAACCACGCGCACCGCTTAGCGCTCGCGAGCACCTAGCAAGGCAGAACCCTTCATAAGCTCACAGCTGCACGCATGCGCGTACCCTGCACGCAGCTTCGCATGGCTTTGCATTGCTTGCTGTTGATTTGCATTGCTTTGTATTGCTTTGCATTGCTCTACGTTGCTCTTCATGTATGTGTATTGACTTGCGTTACATTGCGCTGCCGTGTGCCATTGCATTACAATCGCACTGCTTTGCAATCGCATTGCGTTGTCCTGTTTGAGACTAGTGCGCATCGCTGTGCATTGCTATGCCATGCGCCGCATTGCGTGGCATTGCTTGGCATTGTTTCACATCGCCTTACATTGCTTGTTATTGATGTGCATTGCCTTGCGTTGCTTCGCACTGTTTGGTTCAGTTCTGCATCGTTTTGCGATGAGTTGCACTATGTTGCGTCGAATTGTATCACATGGCGTTGATGCGCATTGCTTTCTCTGCGCTACTTTGCACTGCTCCACAGACTGCACCATATATAGGATTGCACCCGATCAGATTTTAACAAGTAGCTTGCACCACGCAGCTCGCACCACCTAAGACTACACCACATATATTGCACCCCAGCTTGGGGCCCACGCTGGCTGACGCGCACCTCGCCCCGGCCGACGGCAGACGCCCGACGACCGACGACCGACGGCGACGGCGACGACTCGGAGGCATTCTTGGGGCCGGTCTCTTCGGGGCCTCCTGGGGTACCTTCGGAGCGTTCTGGGGAGCTCCTGGGGAGCTCTTCCCAGACATTTTTGTCAGCAGCCGCGAGCGAAAGCGCACACGGCGAGTCGAGTCAGAGCGGGCCGCGCAAAGACGAATTACCTGAAACGGAGAAGCCTCAGGCGTCACCACGGAAACTCTTCCCAGACATGCGATGCCCCGATTTCTTCAGTGCGGCGCCCCCGGAAGCCCAGACCCTTTCCCTGGGGCCGGGTCTTCGTCCCGCGTCGTCCTCAGACGCTCCCCGGGGCCGGCGAAGGCCCCCCCCCCAGGGGCCGAGCACAGCGAAGAACCTCCCGTCCTGATTTGCTCAAGATGAAGGGGCCCTGGGACACACAAATAAATACACACAAATAAAAGGATTCCCCATATGTTTCGTATTTTCGGTGTTTTTGTCTTCCCCCCCACTTCCAATGTTTTCTTATGTTTTCCTGGGGGCCGACGATTAATTGTGTCTGTGATTTTTTTTTCCCTCCTGAGAAGACGCGATCACGCCTGGGTGGGGAGCTCGTGGGCCACCTCTGGGGGAACGAACATGAACATAAACACTCGGAGGTCCGTGCGGATTTCTCGGATCTGCGCTGGACCCCCCTCCCTGGCGCGCGCCGAGAGCGCCAGGGGCGGCGCCGGAGGCGCCGCCAGGGGGGCCCCGGCGCGGATCCGAGAAATCCGCGCGGACCTCCGAGATTTTACGTTTGTGTCACTGTTCTTGAGCAGGCACCGACCGTCCCGGCATTCCTATAGTCCTACCATGAATTGTTCTTAGAACCCAAAAATGCTCTAAGAACAAAAACAGTGTTCTTAGAACATTAACCCGATGTGATAAAAACAGAACAGTCTCGGCCAGAAATGTTCCAAGAACATCTTGTGGGAACCACAAACAGTTCTTAGAATATTGTTTGGTAGGGCCATAGGCGAACCAGGACGCTTCGCCACCGCTTGATGCTCGTTGCCCTAATCTCTGGGCAGGGGTCCGGCGCGGATCCGAGAAATCCGCGCGGACCTCCGAGTTTTTACGTTTGTGTCATTTCTTGTTCCCCTGCCCAACAAAACACCCCAAAACGGTCAAGCAGTAGTCCCCAGACTATGTTTTGACTATTTTTGGACATGCCCCCTGTAGAGGTACAGGCCCGACTTGACCCTCGTGGTGGCCCCCGTGTCCCCCGCGTGCATGAAGGGGCCCTGGGACACACAAATCAATGCACACAAATAACAGGATTCCCCATATTTCCCCACATTTTCGGGGGGGGGGGTCTTCCCCCCACTTCCCATATTTTCCTCTATTTTCTGGGGGATCGACGACTAACTGTGTCTGTGTCTGTGTCTGTGTCTGTGTCTGTGTCTGTGTCTGTGTCTGTGTCTGTGTCTGTGTGTGTGTGTCTGTGTGTGTCTGTGTCTGTGTCTGTGTCTGTGTCTGTGTCTGTGTCTGTGTCTCTGTCTCTGTCTCTGTGCGTGTGTGTGTGTGTGTGTGTGTGTGTCTGTCCGCGCCGATCCGAGAAGTCCGCGCGGACCTCCGAGTTTTTACGTTCGTGTCACTGCTCGTTGCCCTAATCTCTGGGCGGGGGCACTCAAAGGCCCCGGACGGCGGGCGACCGACGACGCCCTCCCCCCTCCTCCTCCTCCTCCTCTTCCGCCTCCTCCTCCTCCGGCTCCTCCTCCTCCTCCTCCTCCTGCTCCTCCTCCTCCTCCTCCTCCTCCTCTTGCTCCTCCTCCTGCTCCTCTGTCCTCCTCCTCGTCCCCCTCGTCGTCCTCCTCCACCTCCTCCTCCTCCTCCTCCCCCTCCTCTGTTCACCTCCTCGCCCCCCGAGGCCTGCGGGCGCCGAGGCCTGCGGGCCCCGCCGGCCGACGGCGCCCCCCCGGCAACCCCCGCGCTTCGGGGGGCGCCTCGGAGGCCGTCGCCGGCCGCTCGGGGGCCCGAAGGCCGACGACGACGGCAGTTTTGGGGGGCCACATGCGAACCCTCCTGCTCCTCCCACCCCTCCTCCTCCTCCTCCTCCTCCTCCTCCTCCTCCTCCTCCTCCTCCTCCTCCTCCTCCTCCTTCCTCCTCCTCCTCCTCCTCCTCCCTCCTCCCTCCCTCCCCTCCCTCCCTCCCCCTCCCTCCCTCCCTCCCTCCCTCCCTCCCTCCCTCCCTCCCTCCCTCCCTCCCTGCCTCCCTCCCTGCTCGAACCCCCTTCGCAGACTCCGCGCGCACCTCGCGCGGGGCCCGCGCGCGGGGCCTCAGAGGGGCCGCGCGAGAGCCCTGCGCCGCCCAAGCCAAACCAGTCCTGGAGCGCAGCCGAGCGCCACGTCTGGGGGGGCCACACGCGAACCCTACCCCTGACGAACCAACAACACACACCCATACCCATAGGGGGGTCGGAGAGGGCTATGGGTGCGTGTTGTCGGATGGGGGCCCCCGCTCGAAGGGGAGCGTTCCCCAGGGTCTGACAACCCGCACCCATACCCATAGCCAGTCCTCCTCCCAACGACCCCCCTATGGGTATGGGTGTGTGATGTTAGTTCGTCAACCCCTGCCCCCCACGAGTTCTGCGGGGGAGGGTGGGGCTCACTTCGCCCGGGAGCTCCTGAGCGAAGTGAGCCCCATCCTCCCCGTCAGAGCTCGTGGGGGGCAGGGGGTAGGGTTCGCGTGTGGCCCCCTAGACAGGCAGGTGGCCTCAGCATCGAGTCGACGAGTCGAGTCGGATCGACCCGAAGATCGAATCGGTCGGCAGAAGTCGGCGGCCAGATCGAGATCGACAGAAGTCGGCAGGGCCGGGTCGGATCGGACCGAAACCGGATCGCGGCAAGCCAGATCGGAATCGACGTCGGAAGGACGGAGGCTCTCGCCCCCATCTCTCCTACAGGAGGAGCTCGACCACAAGCAACCTTCCACAAGCAGCCCAGCCTAGAGACCCCAGGACGCCCATGGATCTCTGGTGCGGGAGCGTCATGCTTCCCGTAGCAGAACCATCGAAACCCAAGAAACCCAGGGCACCATGGAGGCAAGCAGGGTGTTTCTTGGCATGGGTCTCGACAGTACGGGCAACTATCTTCGTGCTTCGGCCTCCGCGAGGCGCGAGGCGCGATGATCTTCGCGCTGTCACGCCAGGCCCGCCAGGAACAGGACGGGGGACTTGCGCCTCGCTCTGAGACCGCCCAGGACGGGAACTACGACGAGGTTCGCACCCTCGTGGTGGCCCCCGTCTCCCGCGTGCATCTCGCGTTAGGTCGGGCATGTCCTCGTACAGGCGAATTTTGAAGGAACCGAGAAAACATACCCAAGCAAAATCAAAAAGGGTCAAAAAATGATAGAGACATCGCCCCCCAACTATTTACTGACTATCTGCTGATGTTCCTCCTGTAGAGGGACATGCCCGACGCAAGACTGAGTTCGCACCCTCGTGGTGGCCCCCGTTAGGGGCACAAAAAGTGTCATAAACATAAAAACTCGGAGGTCCGCGCGGATTTCTCGGATCGGCGCTGGACCCCCCTCCCTGGCGCGCGGAGCGCGCCAGGTGCGGCGCCGGAGGCGCCCCCTGGGGGCTCCAGCGCCGATCCGAGAAATCCGCGCAGACCTCAGAGTTTTTAAGTTTGTGTCATTTTTTGTTCCCCTGCCCCAAAAAATACTCTCAAGCGGTCAAAAAATAGTCCCCAGACTATTTTTTGACTATTCTTGGAGTTGCCCCTGTAGAGGTACAGGCCCGACTTAACCCTCGTGGTGGCCCCCGTGTCTCCCGCGTGCATGAAGGGGCCCTGGGACACACAAATCAATGCACACAAATAACAGGATTCCCCATGTTTCCCCATATTTTCGGGGGGGGTGTCTTCCCCCCACTTCCCATATGTTCCCCTATTTTCTGGGGGGTCGACGACTAACTGTGTCTGTGTGTGTGTCTGTGTGTAGTGTGTGCGTGTGTGTGTGTGTGTGTGTGTGTGCATGTGCGTGTGCATGTGCGTGTGCGTGTGCGTGTGCGTGTGCGTGTGCGTGTGCGTGTGCGTGTGTGCGTGTGTGTGTGTGTGTGTGTGTGTGTGTGTGTGTGTGTGTGCGTGTGTGCGTGCGTGTGCGTGTGCGTGTGTGCGTGTGTGCGTGTGTGCGTGTGTGCGTGTGTGCGTGTGTGCGTGTGTGTGCGTGTGTGCGTGTGTGCGTGTGTGCGTGTGTGCGTGTGTGCGTGTGTGCGTGTGTGCGTGTGTGCGTGTGTGCGTGTGTGCGTGTGTGCGTGTGTGCGTGTGCGTGTGTGTGTGTGTGTGTTGTTTGCCCTCCCGCATGCAAACCTCGCGCCGTGGGCCGTGCCCTCCGGGCCCCGCCGAGGGCCTCCAGAGGTGCTGCTGGGGCCTGGAGCGCCCGCGTGCCGCCACGCGCAGTGCTTCTAGAGTTCAGTCGGGCGTGTCCCCCTACAGGGGGATTTTCGACGAAGAATAAAAATACTCAAAAAATGCTCCCAAATGGTCAAGAATACTCGAAACATGGTCCCCAGACTACTTTTTTGACTGCTCTCAAATATTCCCCCTGTAGAGGGACAGGCCCGACTTCATTCTAGAAGCCTCCCAGATGGGGTCGGAGTCTTTTTTGTCAGCAAAGGCAGACATACCGTGTGGGCATCCATGTATATATTACCAGCGAGCGCAGCAAGTAACAAATGATACCGGAGAAAAAACCCAATCATAATATCTTTAGGGCTGTAGGGCTATGGGGCTATACGGTCAATAGGACCATAGGGCTAGGGCTATAGGACTATAGGGCTATAGGGCTATAGGAACATTGGGCTATAGGGCTACAAGGCAATACGGCTATAGGGCTATAGGCCCATAAGGGCTATAGGGTTATAGGGCTATAGGGCGATTGGGCTATAGGGCATGAGGACTATAGGGCTATAGGGCTATTTGGGCTATAGCGCTATTGGGCTATAAGGCTATAAGGCTATAGGTCTATAGGTCTATAGGAATATAGGGCTATAGAGCTACGATAGAGCACCCGGGCACCCCGGGGCACCCCGCGGGGCACCCGGGCACCCAGGGGCACCTCCAGGCACCCCTGGGCACCTCCGGGCACCCCCAGGCACCCGGGCACCCGGGCACCCCCGGGCAACCGGGCACCCGGGCGTGCAGCGAAAATCGGCGGCAAACCTAACCTAACCATATAAATCCGCTGGGACCCCTACAGAGGCAAGCTCTGATTGGGGAACAATTGCCGACGACATGAATAAGAATAGTTGGTATTCTAATTACAGAATCGATGTGCACCAGCACAGGCTAAGTGCAAGCGCTGCCAATCGCCAACGCACAAGCAGCCAGATGCCTGAATCCGAATTGCAGCTGCTCTGGGCGGGCACCCTGGTAATCCGCTCCCAGATGGGGTCGGAGTTGATGGGGTCGGAGGATCGCGCCGCATCGCCGATACATCGGCTGTGCATCTGCGATGCATCGGTGATGCAGCGGCGATGCATCGTCGGCGTGGGCGATGCATCGGCGACATCGGCGTGGAGAAAATCGGGCTCCGCACCGAGCCGCATCGGCGATGCGGCACGATCCTCCGACCACAGCTACTCCGACCCCATCTACGAGGCCTAGAGCTCTCTCGCTGCAGACATCCCTGCAAAACCCAAGCCACCGCCAAGACCTGAGATCCTGGCGACTCCATTCTTCCGAGCCGGGCGCTTTCGCATGTGTCTGGGCCCCGAGGCCCCCACGGGCCGATCCGGCTCGAAGACTGGCGCAAAAACATGGGGCCCAGTGCTCAGGGCGTGATTGTTTGCGATGTTGCCATTTTTTCGCAACGCCGGATCTCAGGGATGGTGAAACGGCTCAACTACGGCATGGGGCCTCGGCTGGACTGCACCGGTGCAATCGCGAGGACCGCATCATGCAGCGCGCGTCTGCGAATATGCACTCGCAAGGTTCGCTGTAGACAAGCGTTCATGCCTGCAAGTCTCTGCTGCGCGTTCTGGGCTCGAATCGAAGAGCCTTTCGGCAAGTCTCCAGGTGGCCTTCACAAGCCCTTCGGAAGCCTCCGCGGGAACCTGCCGGGCGCCATTTTTTTCTCGCGTCAAGTCGTTCCATGGATGACATCATGCACTGGGTGGCACCGCGAAACCCACCTCGATCCCATAACTTCCAAATGGAGGCATCGGCTCGTCAATTGGGATGGCATCAGAGAGCTCCGTGCGACGAGAGCGCTGCAACCCTTCCGTTAGGACTGCGTACAGTTCTTCCTGCGCAGCTCCCAGACTCTGCATGGTCATCCAACGAAAGCTCTGGTCAAGCTCAGATGCTGCCTCCACACCATCACGATTCAGATAACAAGCGAATTCGTCTTGTGCGTCAAAGCCTTGCACATTTTCTTCGCGAGCAACTGCCTCACGAACAAATACCAAGTCCAAATATCCTAGACGATGCAGGCGGTACCCAAAGGGCCACAACTGCGCAACGATGGCGCTCAGGGAATTGAGCACCCCTTCTCGCAGAGGCATCGCGCGTCCGCTGAGCATTGGACGCCAATCGCGAGTCAGAACTTGAAACGGAGGGGGAATGGAAGGGGCAAATTCAATGACCACAACAAGTGGAAGATAATCGGCACCGCTTCGCTGCTCGATTATTCGGAGCGTGGCGATGGTCAATTCCAAATCGATGGAATCAATGTCAACTTTGAGAATGTCTAATGGTGCATGTCGCAAGGCTGGGCTGTCATCAATGATTTCTGTGATCGCCGCCACATCCGCGGATAATATTGAATGCTTTACCTTCATACCATGCACACCCGCTTCGATTATTTTCTCTTCAGCTTCAACTAATCTGCTTGGGTTCGCATCAACGCACAGCCCCTCAACGAACCAGTCGCGTTGGTCCAATATAATTGCTGTCATTGGGTCGGTGCCTTCTAGCGCGCCGCTACCGTAATTTAGAAGACGAAGTGTGACATTATTGCTTGCTGGTAAAGTTGGAAAGAGTCTCCGCTGCCTTGCTTTCGAAGCAGGCAGGAGGTCCCGAAGAAGCCAAAGAAGGTCGATCTGATCGTGTTGCGTACATCTGCGACACTCGACGCAACACGAGACCAAGCAATCACTCTGGGAAGAGAAGAATCCCACCAGCCGCTTAAGCCTAAGATGGTCTAGCGAGTTCTTTCTTTCCTCTTCTAAGAAGCCCTCTTCCCTTCGGGCAGGGGTGCTCCCCCCCATTCCCTCCCTGATGTTCCTGTCTCTGTCTGTGTCTGTGTGTGTGTGTGGTGGGGGGGGGGGGTGGGGGGGCGCGAAGTGTCAGGGCCCAAGATGGCTCCAAAAGGCGTCCGATGCTCCAAGATGGCCTCTGAGATGGCTCAAGATCGCCGAAGGTGGTCCAAGATAGCTTCCGGCATGCCTCCAGGAGGCCCGACGAAAGCCACAGGAAGGCTCCAAGTGCTCTCGGAGCCCCCATCAGGACCCCCGAAGAAGCCAACATCATTCAAACACCTACGTAAAGAAACTCACCGATGTTCGCCTTCTCGCCGTTTCGCTTCCGATGCGCTTGTGAGGCCTCAAGATGGCCCAAGAGAGGCCTACAAAGGGGCCCACGGAGCCCTCCAGGCGGCCACAGGAGCACATAAAAGCGGCCCCAGGGCGCCTCAAGAGGCGATGTCGAGGGCTCTTGGGGGAGGGGGAGTAAATCGAAGACCCCTCCTCCTTTGATCGATAGCCTCCAAGATGGCCCCAAGAGGTCCTCCAGCTCCAGGGCTCCCAAGAGGGTCCCAAGAGAGCCCCAAGCGGGCCCCAAGAGAGCCCCAAGACGGCCCCAAGACGGCCCTAAGAGCGCCAAAGAACTCCTTAAGCGTGCCACGAGGGCCTCAAGAGGCGTTTTGCCTTCTCCTTCTCCTTCTCCTTCTCCTCCTCCTCCTCCTCCTCCTCCTCCTCCTCCTCCTCCTCCTCCTCCTCCCCTCGCCACCCCGCGGGCCCCATGGATGGCCCGAAGAGGCCCTCCAACGCCACCTCCTTGTTCCCCAAAGATCTCTCTGTTCATCCGGGTTGCCCGCACTGTTTCACTATATATGTGTCTCTTCGTCCATTTTCCCGTCAACTCGCCTGGGCAACGTTTCAAAACGGGCTGGTGGGGATACTTTTGTTGTCGCAACCGCAGGCGACGGCGCTGGTGGCGTCGAAGGTCGGCTCAGGCTACGAGCAGATCTGGTTGACCTAGCGCGCGCACGGGCAACGCTGGTGGGGATACTTGCTCATCGCGAGTGTCGCGGAACCAACCGAGCACCGTCAGGAGCTGGTGGGGATATTTTTTTTTGGTCGCGGGCGGACGCGGATTCGCAGTCGCCGAGCTGAGAGGTCCAGGCCACGGGCCTGTCAAATTAGCAACGCGCAGACCTAAAAGCGCAACGGCCGAGCCCAGTGGTGGGGATACGCAAAGCGTGAAGAATTTTCCGTAGCGGTACCGCAACGCACGGCTTTCAACCGTATTATGCATCGACACCCAATGAAGCTCCCTCCGATACTTCGAGAACGCCTGCGTTATGGACGGCCTCATACGATCCACGTCGGCCTCTCCCATAATTTCGAACTCTATTGACGTCGTGACGCCAAGCGCCATACCACACTGTTTTTCCAATCGCGGCGAAGATAGCATACCATGCTTTGAAACATTGTACCATTTGCAGAAGCCTGGCGAAAAATGCCGCATTGCAGTCCGACACGCCTCTGGAAACTCAGGGAGCCCAGAAGCCGTCATATGGCAATGCATCGCAATCGCGTTCTGGAAACCTATGCCGTCCGTAGTGCATCGCACACGATCCCTGCTGTCCGCAAATCTCGCCACGGAAACTGACTGCGCTCTACGTTTACCCTTCGCGAATAATACGTGTATTGGTGACAGTACTTTCCAAACATGTCCGACGCGCGAGACCAACCTCAGGTCACTCGCCGCGCATCCGACCTCATCCTCACGAAGGTCGAGATATAACATTGGGTGCAAGTACTCAATCGCTGCACATGGCGGAATGAGTATCCACCATAACAAAACCGAGCACGTGGGCATCGATGGGATCCTCATGCGCAACCCCTGCTCTACTGAAGCATTGCACCCTTGAGCCGGAACGGCTGGGGAACCTGCCGTACATCACTTTTGGTCAACATCGATCGTGGACACCATCTTCGACTTGGATACTCATGATGGTCCCCATCATGAGCATCCAAGTCCTGGAGACACTCGCTCTACTCGTGTGTCGAAGCTGCGTCGAATGTCAGTCGTTTCGAGCCGACCTTGACCTGAGTCGAACTTGAGTCGAAAATTAGTCGAAGTTGAGTCGAACTGGGGTCGAACTAGAGTCGAACAGATCCGTCAGGTGGGCCCCAGGAAGGTCTCCAAAAGGAGCATCTGATTCACCTGTGCTTCGAACTTCGTCCGCCAGTGGCCACGAAGCTCCCCCCCCCCCCAACGAAGCCCCGAAGAAGGCCCAACGCCTGATCTCGAGGCGCCGTTTGTCGGGGGTGGGCTCGCCTGGGCAGGCGCTAACCAGGGCCCGCTGGGGCCACGTCGCGACCCCCGGCCCACCACGAAATAACTACCCTCCCTGGTCGGGGTCGGGGGAGGGAAGGGGACTGACTGCCTACCAGACCACCCCGACCTGACCCGAAGACCCAGACTTCAGGTTGGGGGGCGTACGGGTTCCACGCGTGTGTTTTTTCCTTCAATGCTCCCCGACGCCCTCCCCCCACGGGGGGGCGGTTCGAGCCCGCAACGCCCCTGCAATTCAGGGCGGGAGAGGAGGAGGAGGAGGAGGAGGAGGAGGAGGAGGAGGAGGAGGAGGAGGAGGAGGAGGAGCAGGAGGAGGAGGAAGAGGAGGGGGAAATGGAGGGCACCTCGGGGCCTTCGGGCTGGGCGGGGGTGGCCCGGTGAGCGGCGCCGGAGCGGGGCCGGCACCCCGGAGCTCCCAAAACCCCGGCTCGGCCGAGGAGGCTCCGGAGGCGGGGGGGCTGACCCCGCCATCGCTCGGACGTCCACTCCCTGTGCTTGCATTTTTTTTTGTTTTTTTTTTTGATTTTTTGCCAAAGGGGGCTCATGAGGCTTCAGAGACTCAGGGCCACAGTCCGATGATGAAGACCGCCGCGCCACCTCCCCAGCGGCACAGCGGCCTGTGCCGATCCCCTCCCCTCTTGCATATGCCGGCACACTTCGCTGCACGGCAGCCCCGCTTCGCCTCCTCGCCAGCGCAGTGACTCTGCCCAGCAGCCGACGCAAAAATGTCTGACTTAACGGGCGAAGAACGGTATAAAATAAACTTATTCGCTGTCGGGGGCGCCTGTCCCTGGGCGGCTGGAGAGTTTATACCCTCACGGTGGCACCGCAGGGGTATAAACTTTCCAGCCGCCCAGGGACAGGCGCCCCCGACAGCGAAAAAAAATATACTTCCCCACATGTTTCGTGGGGTTCTGGTTTTCTTCCCTGCCGCGCCGCACCCGCGTCTCACACCTCCCCCCTCCCCTTCTCCTTCTCGCACAGCACAGCACAGCACAGCACAGCACTGCTCAGCATACCGCAGCACAGCTCAGCTCAGCTCAGCTCAGCTCAGCTCAGCACAGCTCAGCTCAGCTCAGCACAGCACAGCACAACACAGCACAGCACTGCTCAGCATAGCTCAGCACAGCTCAGCTCAGCTCAGCTCAGCACAGCACAGCACAGCTCAGCACAGCACAGCACAGCACAGTACAGCACAGCACAGCACAGCACTGCTCAGCACAGCTCAGCACAGCTCAGCTCAGCTCAGCACAGCACAGCTCAGCTCGGTCGTCCAGGCCGTAGCAGGCGTGGCATTTTCTCGATACCATAGGGGGTGCGCAGGGGGTGGTCCCCCTATCCGCGCCGGTCGTCCAGGCCGTAGCAGGCGTGGCAGTTTCTCGACGCCATACTGGGTGCGCAGGGGGTGGTCCCCCTATCCGCGCCGGTCGTCCAGGCCGTAGCAGGCGTGGCACTTTCTCGACACCATAGAGGGTGCGCACGGGGTGGTCCCCCTATCCGCGCCGGTCGTCCAGGCCGTAGTTGGCGTGGCACTTTCTCGATACCAAAAGGGGGTGCGCACCCGGATCCGCGCCGGTCTCCAGGCCGTAGCAGCTGGCAGTTCGACGCCGGTCGTAGGCAGTGACGGGGTGCGCAGGCGGGGGTGGTCCCCCTATCCGCGCCGGTCGTCCAGGCCGTAGCAGGCGTGGCAGTTTCTCGACACCATAGGGGGTGCGCAGGGGGTGGTCCCCTTATCCGCGCCGGTCGTCCAGGCCGTAGCAGCGTGGCAGTTTCTCGACGCCGTAGTGGGTGCGCACGGGGTGGTCCCCCTATCCGCGCCGGTCGTCCAGGCCGTAGCAGGCGTGGCACTTTCTCGACACCAAGGGGGTGCGCAGGGGTGGTTCTCCTATCCGCGCCGGTCGTCCAGGCCGTAGCAAGCGTGGCACTTTCTCGACGCCACAAGGGGCGCGCAGGGGGTAGTCCCCTCTTCCGCGCCGGTCGCCCAGGCCGTAACAGGCACTTTCTCGATACCATAGGGGGTGCGCAGGGGGTGGTCCCCCTATCCGCGCCGGTCGTCCAGGCCGTAGCAGGCGTGGCACTTTCTCGACGCCGTAGTGGGTGCACGGGGTGGTCCTATGCAGGCGTGGCAGTTTCTCGACACCATAGGGGGTGCGCAGGGGGGGGTCCCCCTATCCGCGCCGGTCGTCCAGGCCGTAGCAGGCGTGGCACTTCTCGACACCATAGGGGGTGCGCACGGGTGGTCACCCTATCCGCGCCGTCGCCAGCCAGCAGGCGTGGCAGTTTCTCGACACCATAGGGGGTGCGCAGGGGGTGGTCCCCCTATCCGCGCCGGTCGTCCAGGCCGTAGCAGGCGTGGCAGTTTCTCGACACCATAGGGGGTGCGCACGGGGTGGTCCCCCTATGCGCGCGGTCCGGTAGCAGGCGTCAGTTTCTCGACACCATAGGGCAGGGGTGCGCAGGCGTGGGTGGTCCCCCTATCCGCGCCGGTCGTCCAGGCCGTAGCAGGCGTGGCACTTTCTCGACACCATAGGGGATGCGCAGGGGGTGGTCCCCCTTTCCGCGCCGGTCGTCCAGGCCGTAGCAGGCGTGGCAGTTTCTCGACGCCATAGTGGGTGCGCACGGGGTGGTCCCCCTATCCGCGCCGGTCGTCCAGGCCGTAGCAGGCGTGGCACTTTCTCGATACCATAGGGGGTGCGCAGGGGGTGGTCCCCCTAACCGCGCCGGTCGTCCAGGCCGTAGCAGGCGTGGCAGTTTCTCGATACCATAGGGGGTGCGCACGGGGTGGTCCCCCTATCCGCGCCGGTCGTCCAGGGCAGAGCAGGCGTGGCACTTTCTCGACACTTAGGGGGTGCGCAGGGGGTGGTCCCTGAGCGCGGCCGCTATCCGAGACGGTCGTCCAGGGCATAGCAGGCGTGGCACTTTCTCGACACCATAGGGGGTGCGCAGGGGGTGGTCCCTGAGCGCGGCCGCTATCCGAGACGGTCGTCCAGGGCATAGTAGGCGTGGCACTTTCTCGATTCCATAGGGGGTGCGCAGGGGTGGTCCCTCACCGCGGCCGCTATGCAGACGGTCGTCCAGGGCATAGCAGGTGTGGCACTTTCTCGACACCATAGGGGGTGCGCAGGGGGTGGTCCCTCACCGCGGCCGCTATGCACGACGGTCGTCCAGGGCATAGCAGGCGTGGCACTTTCTGGACAAAATAGGGGGTGCGCAGGGGTTGGTCCCTCACCGCGGCCGCTATGCACGACGGTCGTCCAGGGCATAGCAGGTGTGGCACTTTCTCGACACCATAGGGGGTGCGCAGGGGGTGGTCCCTCACCGCGGCCGCTATGCACGACGGTCGTCCAGGGCATAGCAGGCGTGGCACTTTCTGGACAAAATAGGGGGTGCGCAGGGGGTGGCAACGGCCACCAACATCATTCTTACATGCTTCACTTCAGCTATCATCACTCCAGCCATAATATAAGTATGTGGGGTTCCTCGGCAGCGTAATTTATACCGTTCTTCGCTCGCTGACTGACGGCGGCGCGTCAGCAACACCAAGCAAAACCAAGTTTTGAACACTCGCGCTCCCGCCCTCCTGCCGAGTTCCTTGCGGCCTTGGTGATAAAGTGTATCACCAAGCCCGCAAGGAACCCGGCAGGAGTTTGGACGCCCGAAATGGGTACGGAAAAAATGGGTCCAATGCCCAACAACAAATGTTGTCCCAAACCAACAGCGGCCGCTGTTGGGCAGGCGGCCCTCTGTCTCAAATGGACACAGGCCGCGGCGGCGTGGACAACGAGTCCTGTTCAAAATGAACAAAAACTGCTGTTGGGTATTGTACCCATTCTTACCGTACCCATGTCGGTCGTCCCGATTGGTGATACAGTGTATCACCAAGCCCGCAGGGAACCTGGCAGGAGGCCGCAACCCCCCACACTGCGCGGTCGGCACTGCGAGCGGAATGGCTGGGCGGCCTTCCGTGCCGCGCTCTTCGGGGCTCACGCTGGGCGGCCCAAGGCTCTGGCCGCGAAGCACCGCAGGGCAGCAGTGCCGCTGCTCCCCGGACCTCTCCCGGGGGGTGGGCTCTGCCCAATCCTCCTCCTCCTCCTCCTCCTCCTCCTCCTCCTCCTCCTCCTCCTCCTCCTCCTCCTCCTCCTCCTGCTCCTCCACGGGGCGAATCCGGCGGTGGCGACGAGGGCCTCTCCCAGGAGGCCCGACCAAAAAGGGGAGACCGACAAAGCGTAACGGTATGGGTGGGGTACCTTGTTCCTCCTGTGAGTTCGGGCCACAGCTCCGTCTGCATCTCTGCCAGCGTTAGAAGCCTCCTAGATGGGGTCGAAGGATCGCGCCGCATCGCCAATGCATCGCCGATGCATCGGCGATGCACTGGCGACGTGGGCGTGGAGAAAATGGGGCTCAGCATCGAGCCGCATCGCCGATGCATCGACGATGCGGCGCGATCCTCCGACCCCATCTGCTCCGACCCCATCTGGGAGGCGTAGAAACGCGGCGGGCCTGCGGGCGCGCCTGGCGACCAGCCCTGGATCCGC